GTATACTTCGTTCTTGGTTTGTTTGTTTTTTTATTCAGATTTTGTTGATGTTGGACTGTTTGTTTTCTTTTTTTTTTGTTCGGATTTGATGATGTTGGATTGTTGTTTTCTTTTCGGATTTGATGATGAAGTTGGATTGTTGTTTTGTTTTCGTATTTGATGATGTTGTATTGTTTTTTTTTCGGATTTGATGATGTTGGATATGCTTGGAGTCTTCGAATTATTCGTTATTTCTTATTTCCTCTTGAAATTGCTTAAAAATATGTTCATTTACTGCGCCTGTAAGCCTTCTCGGACGGCCGTCCGAATTTTTAGTTCAAATTCCAGACGGCCGTCCCAATTCCAGAGGCTTTATTCAAATTCCAGACGGCCGTCCGAAATCCAGGTGTATTTCTCTGACGACCGTCCCAATTCCAGAAGCTTTATTCAAATTCCAGACGGCCGTCCGAAATCCAGGTGTATTTCTCGGACGACTGTCTAAATTCCAGAGGCTTTATTGAAATTCCAGACGGCTGTCCGAAATCCAAGTATATTTCTCGGACGGCCGTCTCAATTCTTGAACTTTTGACTTCTTCACTTTTCACCCACCTTTTCTCCTAAATTACAGTTTTGATCATCTATTTATACATTTAACAATGTAAAAATATACACTTAACACATTATAAAGTACTAAGTTTGACATAATAAAATATTATAATACATTAAATTCGATAGAACTAAACTAAATCAAACACTATTTAGAATATCCCGCGCTTGACGTCTGCCTCGCAGCGCCTCTGTCAAATATGCAACACTATCATTGATGTACCTCCGCCACTGCAAGTTAAAGGGGGGAAGTGGACAATTGTCAGCCATCTTTACATACACAAAGTGATTTCCTGCATTAAGATGCAATATAGTCATCTGATAAGATAGATGTGAAACACCTTTGAGACCCAAAGTGGCAAATAAGTCTAATTTCCCGAACTACTAGCCGACAACACCAAAGCGTTGTAACATGTTGCTACGACCACGCCCACGCCCGTGATGGTCATCCATTTTTCAACTGGTGCTTGAGCGTTGTCCCAATGGGCGACTTTCGCCAACACCTGATATACATAATTACCACCACCGAAATAATCCTTGAACGACTCCTCATTTCTTATGATACAGTTATAAATATCCAATCTAACATCCATCCAATCATCCTCGAGATCTTTCACTGCTCACGCAACGCTTCTATAACCACAATTATCATCCCCTCGAACGTTCGTCCATGTCACAACCTCAGGAACAAGGCAGAAATGAAGATGTCAAAAAAAATCAGGTCGGGGCATTCGTACCATTTCGGGTCCACTCACAGTCAATGAAGAGCTACAGTTTCTGCTAGATCTTTCAGAAGATGCACCACGACCTCTGTTGCCTCGTCTTCGTCCTCGTCTTCGTCCAGTTACGTTATCTTCGTCCTGTGTGGGGTATAGTGGATACTCATGTGATGATTGATCCCTCTATGTGGTGTTGTTTCGCGGTCTGCCTCTCGGGCGGTCTACTACTGGTTGTTCATTTAATTCCGTCTCCCCAGGATGCATTGTAACACCCCACGTTTTCAAAACACGATAAATTCTAAACAATAAATCTTTCGTCACTTAAATACTAAATTTTGCTAATGATAGGGCTATACATGAATTATTATGTGCCGGATTATTAGATATCGTATTTTATACGTGACCTTATGTGCATATGTGTTTACGGGTGAATTATACATGCATGCTTGGACTTAGCATAATTGCCATAATACATAATATATGTGTATGTATATGTGTGCCGCATATGTGTGTGTAATTTAGGGGAGGATTATTAAATAATTATAAAATAAATAATTGATAATCCTAAGCCTAGCCTAACCCCTATTAAGACCAATCCTACACTCCACCTCAAGCATGCCTATTTAGAAGGCCAAGGGTCTCCTTCTCTCCCCCTCATTTCGACTGCATCAAACCTCTCTCTCTCTCCCTTGTTCCTTCCTTCTTCAAACCACCGAAACCACCATTGCCATCAGCTCCACCAAGCTCGAACCACCCCTAAAATCAGCAAGATATTTCTCAAGCCAAAGATGAGAATTCCCTATCTCACCCTTGCCCTTGAATACTCCAAGAATACTATAAATACACGGTGTCCTTTCACTAGTGAAAACACCTCTCACCTTGAAATCTATACCGTGTCCTTCCATATCAAAGTAGCTTGGTTGAATCTCAATGCTTGAAGAGGTTCCCTAGAACCTTCCCCTTTTCAGCTAGCTTTTATTCCTTTATATTTTTGAGGTAAGGAATCGAAATCCTTGCTGCAAATGGAGGTATCAAGTATCAAGAACAAAATTTCGAAATTAATTAAAAGACACCCCTAATTCTTGTTTTATGTTGTTCTTGCATTTAATGTTTCCTTTGTGTTAGTTTATATGATTTATGTGTATTGCATGTATGATCAGAGGTCTTAAATGGTAGATTTGAGTTGGTGGCTTTCAAAGAAATTTCAGTTATTTCGAAAATTGTGAAGAAAATTAAATTGGGAAATTTTTTGGGGTTGCATGTGTAAATCTGCATACTTTTGGGCCAGATCTGTAATTTTGGAGAAGTCAGACTCATATGAGTTTTCAAAATTGGTTTTTGACATTTATTGAACGGGAATTTCAGATTTAAGAAAGTTTTGCAAGAAAAAGAAATTTTTGAACTCCTAGTGGTCTTGCATGTGTGGATCTAAAGGTTTTTAGGGTGAAAAATAGAATTTTCGAAGTTGTTGCATAAATCAAGTTTTTAGTCTCGTTCTTCTGCATATATTGAACAAAGATTTCGGATTTTTGGGGGTTGTTTATGAAGAAATGGATTTTGAAATTTTAGTATGGATGCATGTGTAATCCGAAAGATTTTTGGGGCAAATCTGCAATTTTTGAGAAGTTAATTTTGAATGGTTTTCCAAATCTGTTTTCAGCACTTAGTAAAAGACAATTTCAGTTTCTAAGAAGTTTTGTAAGAAAAAGGATTTTTGGGAATTTCTAAGGGTCATGCATGTATATAGATCTAGAGAGTCTAGGGTAAAATATGTAATTTTCGAAAAATCTGCATAAAATAACTTCTAGCTGGACTTTCTGCATTAATCTAAATTTCAGAGGAGTTAAGGGTTGAATTTCATGAAAATATGGATGAGGAACTTTTAGGTTAATTGCATGTGTGAGTTTTGAACTTTTGGGGTCAAAACTGTAATTTCCAGAAATTTAGGGGCATTGTGCTGAATACCCGAAATCTTCTAAGCTAATATGTTTTCTTGTTCCTAAATGTGTTAGTAAAGAAATTTTGGGATTTAGTAGCTTAAGGAAAATATAGGAATTAAATGGATCTTTACTAGTCTTGTTTGGAATTATGGTTATATGTGGGTAAACATTCATGAATGCATAATTCGATGTGTGATGATAGTTAATCTCTTGTGTAGTATGTGGTTGTTTGTCACTTGATTGATATTTGTGATGTCTTGTGGTGTTTTTAGTTTCTTATGGGTTGTTATGGAATATTGATACTTTTATGTACTCAACCGGATTTCTAAATACTACGACCGTGCCACTTTTTAAATTAAGTAAAATAAATTGGGGAGATTAATGAAATACTTAGAAAGGATGAGAAAGGATACGGGGGGGGGGGGGGGGG